CGTGACACGTAGAAGTTGAAGATACTGCAACTATGGGGCGATCTTCATACGGTATGCTTCAAATTTAGCTTAGGAATAGGGAACATAGACTCAATAAAATCTTGTGTAATTGTTGATTAAAAATTTTAGCGTACAAATTTGTACGCTATATGGTTTAAGGGATAGTTCTACCTGTGTTTTCAAAAGGCACTTTAAAGTGTATAATAAGTTCGAGTAATTGATTATAGGTGAATCTTATTTTCTCAACACCTATTTTGCCTAAAACCCATTTAACCGACATCGCATAGCGTTAGGGTTAGTGTTTTATTGGTTGCATATATATATTAATAGTAAATTATTACCCGTGTGATGTCGGTTAACTGGGCCTTTGGGTTAATATTAAATGGGCGTTGGGTAAATCCTAGGTGGATCACATCAACCAATTAGAAAAAGGTTGTTCTATCGGAAAACGCCTTCGGAAGGTTAAAATTTGCTAGTGAATATTTTATTTAGCTAATAAATTATAAATTTTAATATTGACAAAATTTACTAGTGAAGATTTTATTTGGCTAAATTTTCAATTTTAATACAGACTAAAAATTATTTAAAATTTCAAATATTTGCGATATTCAAAATAAATTTTTACAAATAATATACGATTAGACTATTACGATAAATAAATAATTTAAATAAGAAAAAATTAAAGAAAAAAACTCAAAAGGAACGTTCCGTCATTAAACAACCACAGCAATAAACAGCAACAATCAGCATGAAGCTTGTTTGTCCTTAATTTGGACACAATAAGCTCTATTTGGAACCTTAGGGACCACAGCAATAAATAGGAGGCATCCAGCAACAATCAGTATATTTATTAACGCATACTCCTTCTTCAGTGTCGCATAAATCTCCGCCACAATCAGCATTGGTTTTACAGGGTTTCTTCGCGCGGTTATTCTCAACTATTAATGAAAATGTTAAATTAAATACATGGTGAGAAAACAGAAAAATAAATGTTATAAATAAAATTGATTCCAGATTTTTTTTACCTGGAGGTAATGCGTGAACTGTAAGGCCATGGACAATACAAATAAGAACGATAAGCCAGAAAAGATATTTCATTGTGAATATTGAGTTAAATATTATTAGAGATATTTATTTGTTTGAGTTTTGTTTATTTAGAGGTATTAATTTGTGTTTGAATTTTTTCTTGTTTATTCTGCCAGCCTTACCTATATGTATATGTTTTTAATCAATGAAAGGCATATCTTCGCAACTCGTGCTTTTCGAAACATGCGTTCACATGGAAAGGTAAAAACTAAATATGGTGATTCCGAAGAGCATAAATAGCAAAGTTCAACATGCCAAATGAATGATTTTATATTGAAGATTCTAAAAGGTTCCCTATCATTTTTTTCCCAACAAATACTTCTCCGAAAAAATTCCACTGACATTCATTCCCCTGACATTCTTTTCCCCAACAAACACTTCCCTAGAAAAAATTTTGGGACAATTCAAGAAGGATGAACCCAGTCATCACATCACTTGAAATCATGCAATTACTTCATTTGTTTACCATATCACTAACAAAATAGGCCTAAACTAACTATTACCTAACCCTAACATTAACCCTAACATTTCCCTAACTTAGACCGAATGATTTATCATGTGATGGGATGATCACTGAGTTCACTGTTCTTAAAACTACTCAAAATTTCACTGACAATCACTTCCCGGCTAGAGATTGTACCCAGGTAGAAATTACTGTTATGTGACGAAGTAATTTATCTGGAATCCAGATAATTTATAGGGGTTTCAAGGTTAAAAATAAGTGACGCATTTCGAAAATAAACATGATTTTTTTCAATAGCATTTGAAAAATAAGATAGATTTGCTGATTTTAGCTTTGAAACCCCTTAATGATGCCCTATAAGAAAAATCTACAGACACGGGTATGGTCCAAGTTGGTACGGATTCGGTGGACCGTGTGGAACAGAATGGTCTTGCAGCAGTTTACTAGTCGAATCGGCACGAGATTTGACACGATAATCACGCGATTACAAATACAAACATGTGGATTGATGATTAAAAAATAAATTTACATCAGTAACCGAAAAATCAATTAAAACTAATTTTTTGCTATACGTTATACAATTAAAATAAATTAAAACTATCATAAAATTAATTGAAGCCAATTAATGACGAAATAATTGCAATTAATTGCAATTAAATTCAATTTTTCTTTCACTGATCTTTTAAACAGGAAAAATCAAAAATCATACCGTAGTGAATATACAATATTATCTAATTATGTAAAATTGCAATTAATTGACCAATTGTGATTGCATCACCAATCATTTAATTGTGCTTGAAAAATTGCAATTAATTGCCCCTACAATCAATTATTCTGTAGGCCTGCATATAATACATAATCGATAATACGGGGTGGAACAAATATCACAAATTTAAAAAGCATAAATAGTTTTTTATATTTAAAACAATGACTAGACAAGGAAATTTAACATATCATATGATATTATAGAATAAGGTAACTGTGCAACGCAATTGCACAAAACAAGGAACAGATTTCTGAATGATTAATTATAACAGTTTGATACTATATGTTAAACGTGTCATTTAATGACAGGTAAGATTAAACTATTTTATAATATAAAATCTATTGTAGTGATGGTGATATGTAGATTTTCTTCAATATTACACAAGATATAGATTAAAGTAAACCAGCAGTGATGGCAGTCATATTAGTTTTAATCAACTATCAAGCGTGACATGAAATTAAAGCTAGAATGAAAAAGGCTATATTATAAAACCATTATAACAGCTCTTTAGAACTAGCATTTAATATTTGTATTAAAATGGTTTATATTATATATTAAAATTTATTATATATTTCAATATGGTGCATTATTAATTAGATGATGATAATTAAATGTATAGTTATGCATCTTAATTAGAAAGAACGTACAATATATATATATATATACAAATAGTTAAACAGCTAGTTAAACCAGAAATAAACGAAAGGTTATAAAGTGTATATTTTTTCTTTAAAAGTTATCTCTATGAAACTTGGTGATTCTAACTAACCAATAAGAATCAGCGTTTAACCCTAATAAATTTTAGCCTCAGCGCCTAATGTTTTTAGATTTTTTTTAAAATATTTAAAAAAAAAAACTTCTTAAAACTATTTAAATTAACTCTACCTGTATCTGAAAATAATTTATCCTGAACCCACGTAAATTAATAATACCTGTGTGGAGATTTTCTCAATGGGTTCAATCTCTAGTATTCTAACGGCTCTTTATGGTTGGTGTTAGGATGATCATTATAATATCTTTTTATGATTAGCGTTAGGGTGAGAAAGTTCGTATTATAAAAGTTATATATGGTTAGGATGTGAAAGTTTGTATTATAAATCATTTTAACAGCTAGTTTTAGAATGATGATCATTCTAACAGCTCTACAATTTGTGTTAGGGTGATAAATGTTCGTATTATAAAGGCTCTTTATGGTTAGTGTTAGGATGTGAAAATTCATACGTATTATAAAAGCTCATTATGGTTAGTGTTACAATGTGAATATTCGTACGTATTATAAAAGCTCATTATGGTTAGTGTTACAATGTGAAAGTCATCATTTCAATAGCTAATAGCTCTTTATGACTACGTAATCAGAAGAATGTATTTGCGCTCACTATTTCACTCCTTAAGTAACCTTGCACTCCGTTCCTAATATTATGTCTTTGATTACACATAACATAGTGTTCCGAAAAATCCGAATCCGACGGATTCAGATTATCATCCAATCCGAACCATGGGATCGGATTGAGCCTAATAAACTGGATTGAGTTATCAAAATAACAGAACTTTTAATTACGACATTAAGGTTTTCAAAATTAAAAAAAAAAAATAGTGTATTTCAGAAATAAATAAGAGGTTAAAAAATCTTATTTGTGTATCGGAAAATGAAATGTGAGTACTTGGAGACTCCCATTTGACGAAATAAGTAAAAATTTTTATATTATTTAATTACAAAATACAGAGTAATAATAAAACCTTGTGCTCAAATTTCTTATTGAACCTTCGCTCATATTATTTATTAAACATTTGTTCAAATTATTTTTTTTATATAACTTACTGAACCTTCGCTCAAATTATTTACTGAACCTTCGCTCAAATTATTTATTAAACCTTCGCTCAAATTACTTACTGAACCTTCACTTAAAGTATTTTTTTATCTAACTTACTAATCCTTCACTCAAATTATTTACTAAACCTTCGCTCAAGTTACTTATTAAACTTATCTCAAATTTTTACTGAACCTATAATTTACTAAACCTTCGCTCAAATTATTTTTTTGTATTACTTACTGAACTTTTGTTTAAATATAACTTATTAAACTTTCGCTATATTTTTTTTATATAGCTTACTTGAAAAAATGTTAGATTTAATTTTTCTTTCACATAGAGTAAGATATCGATCCAGTTTTATAGTTTGTATTAATTTGAATAGTTTCTTAATTTCTTTACCCAGAACTTTAGTAATAGCCTTATTTATGCTAGTTGAGTATTCTTTCATAAGTGTCTTTAAAAGATTATTTATTTGTTTAATTTGATGCTGTCATTGTGCAGTCTCATATTGCAATTAGGCTCCATGGCTGCGGTAGCAATGCAAAGGCCTCACAATATGATTAGTCTCTATGGCTGCTAGGAATAGGTTCGGTGCAAATGGCTACAATCATTCATAGTCAATTTTCTAAAATATTGAGTGATTTTTTCTTTTTGAGCTTTCAATTGAAGTTGTTCAGATTAAATTCTGTTTATCCCATCTCATAAGTGGAAAGAACGAAACTTTCTCCAGAACTGAGAATTTTAAAATTTGTTAACATCATAGCCGATTAATGACTGGCAGCTAATAACCGGTTATAACATTGACAAAATTTGAAATTCTGAGTTCCAGAGAAGGTATCGATCATTCTTTCCACTTATATAATGAGATGAGCAGAATTAAATTCTGAAAAACTTAACTAAAAGCTCAAATAAAAAAAAATAATATCAGTATTTAGAAAATTGACTATGAATAATCATAGCCGTTCATAACTGAACCCATACCTATTGGCTGCCATAGATAGTAAAGGACCTTATGTTTGGTGATAAAGCACTGCAACTACAATAGCAGTACAAGGACTTTACATTGTAATTAGGTTCTGTGGCTGCTATAGCAATGTAAGGACCTATTGTGATTATGCTCTATGGCTGACACAGACTGTAAAAATCTCATGTTTGCACTATAACTACGATAGCAGTGCAAGGATCTCACGTTGTAATTAGGCTTTGTAGCTGCAATAGCATACAATGATCTTACATTTGTAATTAGGCTCTATAGCTGCTGTAGGCAGTACAAGACCTCATGCTTGATGATTAACCCTACAACTATGATAACAGTGCAAGGATCTCACATTGTGATTAGGCTCTGTGGATGCAATAACAATGCAAGAACCTTATGTGATTAGGTTCTATGGCCGTCACAGGCAGTGAAGAACCTTATGTTTGGTGATTAAGCACTGTAACTACAAATGCAGTGCAAGGATCTTATGTTGTGATTAGGCTCTGTGGCTGTTGCAGGCAGTGCAAGACCCTCATCTATGGAGATTAAGTTTAGTAACTACGATAGCAGTACAAATATCTTACATTATCATTAGGCTCTGTGGATGCAATAGCAATACAAAAACCTCATGTTGTGATTAGGTTCTATGGCTGCCATAGACAGTGCAAGAATCTCTTGTATAGTGATTAAACTTCACAGCTATGATAGCAGTGCACGGACCTCATGTTGTTGTTAGCTGCGATAGCAATGCAAGGGCCTGATATTGTATTTAGACAATGACTACCACAGATACTGCAATAATCTCATTTTTGGTGATTAAGCGCCGCAACTATGATAGCAATGCAAGGACCTCACATTATCCCTATAAAAAAATTTTGAAAAACATATTTCAACTTTCTCCAGATTATTATTCCATTATCTTTCTAGAAAATGCTCATTTTTCAGAACAAAATACCTGACCATTTCTATACAGGGGGGTGACAAAAATATTTCCAC